GCAAGGAGAACAGCGCTTAACGCATGATAAGAGACGGTCAGGTACATGTAGAGTACTTCTTTGGGCAAAGGGCTGACCAGCCTTGGCAAGGAATGCAAGTGAACTTTCAATTTCAAGAAGGCCGCCTCAGCATCCGGCCCCCATTCAAACCTTGCCTTTTTCTTAATTGCCTGGAAAAAGTATAGGCATTTGTCGCCTGATCGGCTTAGAAATCTTCCCAAGGCCGCCAGACAACCTGTTAACTTCTGAACCTCTCGGATGGTACGAGGCGACTGCATGTCGATGACCGCCTGCACCTTCTCAGGGTTCGCCTCTATTCCTCTCTGATTGATAAGGAATCCGAGAAATTTCCCAGACTCAACTCCAAAGACACATTTCTTGGGATTGAGCATGACATGGTGCCGCCTGAGTGTGGCGAAAGTTTCTCGAAGGTCCGACAGATGATCTTTTTGAAGTTTAGACTTGACAATCATATCATCAATATATGCCTCGACATTTCTCCCAATCTGATCAAAAAAACACAGTGTTTATCATCCGCTGGAAAGTGGTCGGGGCATTCTTAAGACCAAATGGCATGACCGTGTAACAGTATAACCCCTGATCAGTGACGAAGGTCGTCTTCTCCTGATCTTTCTCCCATAAAGGAATTTGATGGAAACCAGAGTAGGCGTCCATAAAGCTCATCAAAGCATGGCCGACTGTTGAGTCGACCAGGTTATCAATTTTAGGCAGAGGGTAACTGTCTTTGGGGCACGCCTTGTTTAAGTCTGTGTAGTCTACACACATTCGCCAGGTGTCATTCGGCTTTTTAACAAGCACCACATTTGCAACCCAGTCTGGGAAGTAACATTGCCGAATGAACCCTGCATCAAGTAATTTTTTAACTTCGGCGGCTGCCGCCTGACTTCTTTCTTCGCCATGGTTCCGCTTCTTCTGCCGTACCGGCTTCTTTTTCGGATCCACGACCAGTTTATGTACCGCCAGATCAGGACTAATGCCTGGCATTTCATGGACTTCGAATGCAAAGATGTCCTTGTATTCTTTCAATAGTTTGTGAAAGTCGTCACCCAGGTACCTTAGAGCAGTCGTCCCAACCGTGATTGTTCTGTCAGGACGCGAGTCATCTAACATTAGGTCCGTATCCTCACCAGCTGGCTGAGGGCGGAATTCATCCGACCGCTCCTCTGCCAATGATTGTTATTTTCTGTCTTTTCTTGCGGCCCCTGTCTGGGATGTCTTTCTCTTCTTGCCGTCTGCTTCTTGAACAGGCGCACTCTCCTTGACATTGTCAAGGTCTATTTTTCCACCGCTCGACATAGTGGCCATAACAGTGGGCTTGACATCCGAGAGATAGCACTCTCGGGCCATCCTTTGATCTCCCCTTAGGGACCCGACTGTTCCATTATCCCTCTCAAACTTGAGCAACATAAGAGATGGGATTATAACAGCCTTGGAATTATTCAGGGTTGGTCGTCCCAGAATCATGTTGTAGGCCGAGAGTTCTTCTACTACCAGGAACCGGACTACCATGTGTCGTCCTTCCCCTTTTTCGCCCAGGCGGATGGGTAAATCCACTCGTCCCACTGGGTGGACGACTCCTCCTCCAAACCCTACTAAAGGGTGGGATGCCGGTTGTATGCAATCAGTATGATATTTTAGCTTCGACAGACATTTGCTACTGATGAGATCTGAGGAGCTTCCGGTATCTATGAGGATTCGGCCTACTCTCTGGTTGGCCACTTTACATTCAATAACGATAGGGTCATCATGCGGCCATCTTACCCCTCCTAGATCTTCTTCAGTGATGACAATCTCAGGAAATGAATATTTGGAGGGTCGTTCTTGGTGAACGGAATTTACATCTAACCGTCTGATATTGTCTTTGTTGCCCCTAATAGTGGGGCCGCCTCCTGAGAAGCCGCCTGCAATGGTGTAGACGACTGCATCATCTGTATCGGAACTGTCGGCCTGTTGATTCTTTTTGGCCGACTGCTTTTTCGAGGAAGTGTTCCCCGTAGATTTCTTGACATAAGTGTCAAGATCACCTTGCTCAGCCAGGCGGTCCAGATACCGCATGAGACTGATGCATTCATTGGTGTGATGACCAACATCTTCATGATAATCACAGAATTTTTCTTGGTTCCGGTTGTTTGCAGAACCCTTCATGGGGACCGGCTTTTCAATTGAGATCCGTCCCTTGATTTCCTTTAGGATAAATTGGCTATCCTTGTTAAACGCATACTTTGGGGAGTATGGTTTGAATTCTTTTTTCTTTTTCTGGGCCGGCTGTTTAGAGGAATCAGCCGCCCAAACCTCTTTTCTCTTCTCGTATTTGTTTGACGACTGTTTCTGTCGTCCTTCTCTTTTGTCGGACCTTCTCCCGTCTGACTGTTTTACCGTACTACAAAGATCAGTCGCCTGTATATAAGCTTCCGCTTCAATCAAGGCCTCTTGAAGAGTCGCCACCCTCTTTCGGACCAAATCAAATTTGAAGGTCGACCCGTCTTTGAGACCTCTGAAAAAGTCAGTATAGGCTACTTCATCCGATAACCCTTGAATCTGTATTCTCATCAGGTTAAACCGCCTGATGTAAGAACGAAGCCCCTCCTTCTCGCCCTGCTGAATTGTTCCTAAATCAAGGGTCGTCTTCTTCGCAGGGATGTTCATGGCGAAGTTGGAGGTGAATAAGTAAGCAAGCGTCTTGAAGCTATTTACACAACCAGTCGGCAGGTTGCCGAACCATTGTTGTGCGATTCCTTTGAGAGTCGCTGGGAAACACTTGCACCAAGTGGGATCATCCAACCCTTGAAGGTACATCAGGTTGGTGAATGCCATCAGATGGTCTTCTGGGTTAGTAGTGCCGTCATAGGCGCCTACTAATACATTTTTCACTTTGGCCGGCTGAGCGGCTTCAGTAATTTCCTTGGAGAAGGCCGACGGCTGTTCACCAAGTCTAAGCAACCGTAGCTGCCAGTCCATAGGTTGGACGTTTTTTGCTGCATGTCCACCAAACGGAGGTGGCTGTAAAAAATACTGTTGTTGCGGTACAAACGGTAAGTTTGGTACCGCCTGGTCGCTATGATAGCCGAACTGACGGGAGGTGCCGCCTGACTGACTCTCATGATACGACTGAGTATGCCTCATCGAGGTATTTCGCAGACTGTCTTGGAAGTTTGAAGTAGAGGCCGACTCTGACAATCGGTCACTCTTCTTCTGCTCTAGCAGTAGCCGAGCGTCTGTGTATGCTTTCCTCGACCCGTCCGCCTGAATATGACGAACAGGTTTCCTATTTCCTGGAGTAGGAAAACGGTATTTTGTGAAATCAAGGGCAGGTGGCTCCCGCTTCCTAGATTTAGGATGAGGGGTCGCCTCTCGCCCTTGAACTGGCTTCCTCTTCTGTGAAGTGGAGGGTTTCTTAGCCGACTGCTCCTTGTCCAGAGCAGGCGGCTTCTTGTTGATCAACTCTTGAATTTCTCCCTTGAAGTCCCTCATGAAGGTCATGAGTTCGTTCCTTGTGATGGGAGCAGACCCATCAGTCGGCTGTTGCCGAACAGGCGGTGCGCCTGCTGGCTCGCTTCCTGTATGAAGATGTTCCCGTTCCCTCCTTTCGGTATGACGGGTACGTCGGGCCCTTAGGGTCCCGTCTGAAGCTGTGTGAGCTTCAACTTCAAATTCAGTCTTAGTATCGTGGTCCGACTGAACTAGAGGGTCGTCCAGGGGACGTCTCTCTTCAGGAGTCGGTACAAACGTGGATGCCATCTCAGAAGTACTCTCCCCACAGACGGCGCCAAAATGTTTCGGGGTTTTCTGATGTCCTGCGGGAGAGTTACAATTCCGAGACTGGAACCGAACGCTTGTACCTGCAAAACAAACGGATGCTCCGGATGATTGGAGATCCGCCTCCGACGGTCAAGTTAGTACTTGATTAAGGAGTAATTAATGCGGAAATTAAAGTGATTGGGTCTCTCTAGGTGAGAGAGTTTAACGTGTGTAATCTTCGTGTTTTTTTCTCTTAATGAGGATTAAGGGAGGTATTTATAACCTCGGGAAACGTGCCAATCTAGGTTTAGGCTAACCTTGGGCTGATTGGGCTTCCCTCGGAAGTTGGGCCTTGGTGACCAGTTATCCCAGGTGTCATGGGAAGGACACATGTCGTGTCGTAATTGGTCCATAGTGGACGGGTCATTGCTTGACACGTGGCAGGCTCCTATTGGCCCATGTGACGGACACATGGCGGAACCTGATTGGTCCACTTGTCAGATGGTGATTGGTGGAAAAATCCCCTAATCAGTATTAATTTCCTTAAGTTGAGGTCATTTAAAACTTAAAATCAATTATGGTACATAAATATTAATTTTTTTCCTCATTTTATTTTAGGAAATTTTGACTTTTACCACCAAAAAAAATCAAAAAATTGTTTTTTACCACCATAACTTCTAAAACTTTTATTTTACCACCAAAAAAATTTCTAAAAATTGTTTTTTACCACCAAACATCAAGAAAACTGTTAAATCTAACGGTTTTAAAAAAAATCCTTCGAATTTTGTGCGCAAAAGATGTATTTCATAGGTTTAGGGGGGCACTTTGGCCCTACGAATTCAATTTGAGGTCAAAATTGACAAAAAATGATCGAAAATGCCTCGTTTTGTGTGTTCACGCAAATCGAAGTTTTTTAAACACGTAAAACGAGGTATTTTCGATCATTTTTGTTAATTCTAATCTCAAATTGGTACCATAGGACTAAAGTGCCCCCCAAAACCCCTAAAAAGCTTGTGTTTGACACAAAAATCGAAGAATTTAAAAAATTCCGTTAGGTATTTGACGACAGGTGGTAAAAAACAACTTTTAATTTTTTATTTGGTGGTAAAATAAAATTTCTAGAAATTTTGGTGGTAAAAAACATTTTTTTAATTCTTTTTTGTGGTAAAAGTCAAAAAATCCTTTATTTTACTTATTTTAGATTTAATTATAAGAAAGGAGTAAATTCTAATAACATATAATAATTTTATGTAGATAACTCAGTTTGATAAGATAACTGATAAGTAAATAAGTTTGAATAAATTCAAATAAGATAACCTCAATCGATAAGATAAGTGAAGTTCAGATGAGCCAATATGTTATACCGAACTGTTCTGGAGTAAATCTTTTCGAATTCAATGGATTGGGCCTACCCTCTTGGCAACCTTGACCAAAACTATAAATAAACAAAGATAAACATTGAAAATTGGAACATGAAATTTAGGATTACATCCAAGAGATCAATAAAAACCTACTATAAAAGTAGGCAAATGAAACCAGAAAATGACAATAAACACCTCTCATAAAAATACCACGTAACACAATATCACACAGTCCAAAGTCCAGATGTCAATATAGAGCTTGAATTTCGCTCTTCTCTACCTTTAACAATACACAATTATCTCCTATATTTTTTGCACACATACATTCAATTAATCAAAAAAAAAAAATCTCAAATTTATAGGTGTTTTTTATGGATTTGTTATGGGAAAAAGGAGTGGAAATAGCAAATATGGGTGAAAGTGGGCATGCACAAGTAGTGCCCATTTCAGTATTTGTGGCTGTTCTTTGCTTTTGTTTGGTGATTGGTCATTTGCTTGAAGAAAATCGCTGGCTCAATGAATCTATCACTGCCATTGTCATTGTAATTACTCCTATATTCATTTTGTTATTTGTTACATTGATTTAAATCATACAAAACTTATATGATATGATATATACTTTGTACATATTATAAGTAATTTGTATTTGTTGGGTAGGAGTATGTAAAAAAAAAAAAAAAAGGGTTGTTTTGATCATGCTTGACAAATTTGCATGTGGGTAGTTGTTATGTTTCACTACTTGGGTCGGATTTACATATATGGGTTAACTGTTTCGGACATTCATGTCCGAGTAACATATAGGGTAGTAGAATGCACATTTATTTAAATGTTTCATATTTACACTAGCTATGTACATTAGATGTTAGGGACTAGAAAGTGGAATATTGTGAATGTATATTTGTGTATGGTGCTCTAAATGAATAAGACTAAATTTGAACAAGAAATAAGCCGAACATGCTATATGTAACATTAGATGTTAGGAACTAGGAGGTGGAATGTGGTGATCTTAATAAGTATGACTAAATATGAACAAGAAGTGAACCGAACATGTTGTATACACGTAACGATACATTATTATGTGTGATAATGATGGTGTTCGTGTTATATGGTACATATTCATTTGGAGCAACAATGTAACATTCTAGGAGTAGTAAACCTTTTGTTCCAATGACTATACCTTAAGTTTGGTAGATTGATCCAATTGAAACCTTACTTAATGTTTATAATGTCATTTGTTAGATGATTTGTTTAGCCTGTGTTCATAAGTTCATTGATAAGTTTTGTATTAAAGGAATTACATTATCAGAAATTTTTTAGTCATTTATAATATGATCTGCCCAAGAAGTTTGTGACTTTAAGAAAATTGTGAGTTGCAAGAAATGAAAGAGAAGAATGCAATTTTTGTGTGTGCTAAGAAATAGAGAAGTTAACATATGATAAAACTAGAGTTTAAAGGCTTAGTTATGCCTTGAATGGTTATACATTACAGTTGAGAGAAATGAGACTAAAGAATTTACGCGTTGTTCCTACAATGGCCATCAAAACCTCTTTAAGCCGGACCAACCTTAGTGATTACTTTTAGAATTGTCATTTCATACACCAAAACATATATAGGAACCTTCTTTGCATTTTTTCATATCTATCAAGCATGTTTTTCAAGTATTGATGAACTTTTTGCCTCGGTTTAGGGATGCTTGACTGGAATGATTATATTGTTCATAAGCAAGGGGACAAACTCTCACATATTACGGTTTGATGAAGAACTATTCTTCATCTATCTCCTTCCGCCGATCATCTTCAATGCAGGGTAATCAGTCAGTCAGTGCACTTGACTTCATTGATAATATAGATAACTACATTCACTAGATTTACTGAGGTGCCATATATTGCTTGTACTTGACTCAGGTTTCAAGTTAAGAAGAAACAATTTTTCCAAAACTTCTTGACAATTATGCTTTTCGGTGTAATTGGTGTCTTTATCTCAACAACCATCATTTCTCTTGGTAATATGCAGACCCTCTTATGCCTTTGCATTTGGCCTGAAAATGAATTTTTCATTAAGTCATTCCTGCATGTTTTCGTCTGTTAGGTAGCTGGTGGCTGCTTCCTAAAGTTGGATTTGCTGCGCTAACAGCACGAGACTACCTCGGTAAGCTTTATGTTCCTTTTAGTCACTTTCATGCTAAATTTCCAGTGATCTTTTATGTTAACTCACTTATCTTTTTGTTTTGTACCTTTAATTCAGCTATTGGTACTATTTTCTCGTCTACTGACACTGTGTGCACACTTCAGGTCAGTACGTACATTGATCAATTTAGCGCCTTTTAAGTGTGATGATGTAAATTTTCATAAGCATCAGTTCTAATAAGTTTCTTTTGTTTGAAGGTTCTTAATCAAGACGATACTCCTCTGCTGTACAGCTTAGTTTTTGGGGAAGGGGTTGTAAACGATGCAACATCAGTTGTTCTCTTCAATGCAATTCAAAAGCTCAATGTGAAAAAAGTTGGTGATTGGACACATGTTCTTGGAAGTTTTCTCTATCTTTTCTTCGCGAGCACTGCACTGGGGATTGGTGTAAGTTTAAACAACTTGAAATACTTTCTCAAAGTATATCCTTTGTTTCAGAAATTGTTTGTCTGACAGATCCAATTCTTAACATTTCTTCTATTCTTGCAGACAGGGCTTCTGACTGCATATGCTCTTAAAGCATCGTATTTTGGTAGGTAAGTGTTCTGAGCTTAAAACCATTTCATACCATAATTTAAGTTTGGTTGGCAGTCGAGTTAAAAGTATGTTACTCATCTCTTTACAGACATTCCACAGATCGTGAAATCGCCCTAATGACTTTGATGGCATATCTTTCCTACACATTGGCAGAGGCAAGTGCATATTTTTGCTCAAAGTTGCGAGTTTGTTGGTTATCACTCAGATATGCATGATTCTATAGCAATTGCTCATGTCTTGATAATCGTTTTATAACTTGTTCCTTTTCATTTCACTACTAAACATGCATATATCATATCATGCTGATCTGCTTTCTTTAGTTACTACCTTATACATGTATATCATTAAAGCTTTATGCTCTTCTGTGTTTCAATTTGGCTTTTGCAGCTAGCAGAGCTGAGTGGAATTCTGACTGTCTTCTTCTGTGGTATCGTAATGTCACATTATGCGTGGTATAATATTACAGAAAATTCAAGAATTTCAACAAGGTAGACAGAACAGTTTTCATCTAAATGTTATTGCAGTCGATATGATTATGTACTTAAGCTCTTTCCCCCCTAAAAAAGTTCTGCACTCTAGAGAAAACCGGAAGAGAATTCTACATGATTGTGTTGGTGTACTTTGTCACTTTTCTCAAACTTTTGCAGGCACATATTTGCAACCATGTCATTCATTGCCGAGACCTTCATTTTCCTTTACGTGGGTATGGATGTTTTTGATATGGAGAAATGGAAAATGACCAGGCTGAGGTACGGCGACTTCTTTATTTTATGCAACTCAGACTAATAATTTCAATTTATACTGCTACCAAATGCTTCTGATTCTAGCTTGTTTTGATCATATACATGAGCTATATGATTCCTTGTTTTGATTAGTATGCTATTGGAATTAATGCATCAATTCTTCTGCTTGGACAATGTTATTCGATATTTTTGAGTAAAGATATATCACTCTCAGGAATCAGACCATTTATGCATTGGATATATAATCTTTATTTAGAATAGTTAATAATCCAATCCCAAGTATCAACTAGGGGTGCCTGTCTGCCTGATACATTTGGTTTCCAATGTGTTTTCATTGTTACCTGCAGCATTTGGACATTGTTGGGCATCTACGGTACCATCGTATTTCTTATTTTACTTGCTCGTGCTGCTTTTGTGTTTCCTCTATCCGCTTTGTCCAATCGTATGAATCGAGAGAAAGAGAGATCTGGAAGAAGATCATCCATTACATTTAAAAAGCAGGTAAGCTTCTTGTTAAGTAGCTAGATTTCCGAGTTATGTATTTAAAAACTTGTTCATGCTTTACTAGTTCACCTCCCTGCTGTGTAGGTAATTATATGGTGGGCTGGACTTATGAGAGGTGCTGTCTCAATTGCCTTAGCATTTAAACAGGTTCATGTTTATCCTATGCCAGTTCAATTCATAGCCTTTCTAACTTAGCTCTCATATTCAATTGCTTTGTGATATACTTTGCTGATTACTGTGAACTTTATTATGTTTGAACTTTGAAGTTTACATACTCCGGTGTAACAATGGATACGATCAATGCTACAATGGTTACCACTACCGTGATCGTTGTACTCTTTACTACACTGGTAAGCTATATTCTTTGTTTGAACTCTACCAAAAATTGTGTTGTGCTTCAGTAACTTCTGTTAAAAACACTGATTGTTTTTCTTGTAATTTCTATCTGGGAAAGCGCGGGAAAAAAATATTAACATAAACGGGGAAGAAAAATAAATCTCAATCAAGTTTTTCTTTGCATCCACAGGTCTTTGGATTTTTAACAAAGCCACTCATATTTTATCTAGTCCCGCATTCTCCCACCCAAGAGCCCAAATCTCCTAAAGATGATCTCACCCTACCAATGCTTTCAATGGACGAATCTACTGCTACAAATCTGAGTCGGGCTAAGGACAGTCTATCAATGCTGTTTGAAAGACCCATTCACACTATACATTCATACTGGAGAAAGTTTGATGATGCTTATATGAGACCATTCTTTGGCGGGCCAAGTAACAACCAGCGAAGGTGAGAAGAAACAGCATCTTCGCTGATTTACAATTGGAAGCTAGTCGAGCTTCAGGTTCTGATTGAGCAATTGCAGTCCAGATAGTCCTGTGAGAAACAAGTCTTTATTTCATTCAGGCTTTGACAAACCTGCATTGCGGCTGAGGTGAGGTGAGAGTAATTTGCCTTGCTCAATGAAACAGTTTCGGGTGGACATGGTGCTTGGGGCAAATGCAGTCCTAAGAACAAAGGCTAATCCGTTGATTGCTTGCCCTTGGTGGGCTAGTTAACCAAAGTTTGATAATAATTTAATAAATGTTTTTTTTCATACTTCCACATTGCTGTCATAAATCATACTATCATAGTATATATTCATATGAAAGTACAAATTTATAATGCTTTTTCGAATATGACAAGGTCAATATGATGTTTAACTTTCACAAAGCGACATTTTGATTTTATTTATTTTTCGAATTTTGATTACCTATACATGACAACACACAAGGACATAACTATATAAATGTGATTTGCAACATTAAAAGCCTAGCATTAATAAATAAAATGTTCATAAGACAGGCAAGTAATCACTACTATCTTGTACAAAGCTTTCTAAGTCATAAGATCTATGAATCCCCCTACTGGTTAGAAAACTCCATCATAGTCGAAGTGCATCTCTACAGAATAACAAATAAACAGCAGATTCTGAGTCCCAGCCCTAACTTTGGATTTACTTACCTACATCATATCCTGAACCTAATTACAGTCATCTTCCTACGCATAACTTACAATAATGTCCAGATAGATCGCTCAGACTACTATTTGCCTAGAACACATCCAACCATGTCAGTTAGATTGCCATTAAATCAACACCTGCAAGCAACAACATCATTGTGTAAATGGCATTCATATGTAAACGAAAATGAAGTACGATGCACAGAAGACCAAACTACAAGAACACTTCAGAAACTACAAATTTTATAACAGCAAATAAAAAACAGCTTAAACTGGGTCTTTCAAGTCGGTGTGACTGTCAGCAACAGTTTGCCACATTGCTTTTGCATCATATACCAATCCCAACTCGTCATTTTATCTACAGCACCGGTGTTCAACACTTTATCTAAATCTAACATTTCAATTTTGGGTTGGATATGTCAAGGTTTTTGAGCCACATATTACTAACGGAGAATATAAAGATTCACAAAGGAGCTTAAGATTAATATTTTTAACAAGAATAACCATAAGTAAACAGAAATATGTGAATAAACACACCCAATTATACTCCCTCCGTGTTTTAATAAATGTTACATTTTGACCAAACACGCATGCCGAGACACGACTTTGACCATTAATTTATCTCATTATATGCAAGTAAAATTATTTGAAAATTGATATTATGAAAGTATACATTATAATGAATCCAATAATGTATTATACAATAACATTTGTTTTTTTTATATATTAGTAAATTAATCAAGTCAAAATAATTATGTGAATAGTGAACAAAAATCAAACTATAACACTTGTTAAAACACAGAGGGAGTATAAATTTAAGCCCACACAAGTCTTTTAAGATTCGATTTTGTTTCATAAATTAACTGTCTTGGCCCCATAATCAATTTAAAGGATGGATATTCCATTATGTAGAAAAATTTAAAGAATACCTCTCAAATGACACATGAATTTCATAGCCAATTATCATAACACCATAATACTAAAAAAAAATTAATAAAACCTGATAAATAGTTATGTGAAACAGATGATTATCATAGCCAACGATATGTGTTGTATAATTCATCTCAGGTATTACATGCCAAACAAAAGACATAACAGGAGACTCATTGCTCATAAAAGTTACCCAGTAATCATGCAAATGCTAACTGGATAACAGCGGACCATAAAGATGAACTAATTTTTGAAGATATTTATGAAAAGAATATTTAGCTTGATCCAGAAACATGTAAGTCATCATCAATTTCATATCAAACAACACCCAGTATCACAAACATTCAGATCAATGTGTGCTTTTACTTTAAAGCAATACCCCAAAGAAAGTAGTAATTGATACTAACCATTTTACATCATGCTCGCTGGAAAAGATGATTACGAGCCAAAGCTTCACGAATCCCAGGAGCAGGAATGCTTTCACATCCCAACAGTTCTTGAAGTTTTGTATCACATCTGACCATCGAATTTAAAGGATCCTGGAAAATAAGTAAAATACAACAGAGTGAGTAATCCCAAATATGATCTCGTCCTAAAAAAAATTAAAATATACAAATATATAAAAAATAATAATAAGAAAAAAAAAATCCAACATGCAAATAGATCTAATTCATAGAAACTCCTAATCATCATCATAAAAAAAGTGAAAAATCATTATAAAGGTGAGGCTGTGAGGATGCAAGAAGATCAAGTAGTCCTGTACTTAGGGAAAACGGGCACTTAAGCTGCACAATGCAGAATACCTATACAAAGCTAGGAATCTAGGTTGGATGTTATATGAACTGAATCCATCTTTCTTCGCTATCACTACATTCTAATTCACAGTGGCGGAGCCAGGATTTATAATTCGGGGGGACAAATTTTGGAGGTTAAAGTTTCGGCAAAAATCTCAAGAAAAAAAAAAATAACCTAAATTGTTTAATATTTATTTGAAATCACATATGCCAATTATTTCTATATGGAAAAAGAGGGGTAAAAAAGTTTTATTGTATATTAAGAAAATTATCCAACAAAAATGAATAAATTTATATTTGTAAATCCTGTTATGTAATCACATAATTGATAAATAAAAAGTCAAATAATTATCGTTAAAACAAATTGATGGTAGATATGAAGGGCCAGGGTTTGAGTTACATTCGAAAAAATAAACTCAACTTTTTCAAATCAATCATATTATTAATATGTATTTCGTTAAAACACAGTTACAAACAATTAATTAATAGTAATCTATTTATTAGAAATGTAAAAAAAAAATTGAGTTTAAGCACACTTAGTTAAAGCGATAATTAAAAACAAGAAGTAGGAAATAAAAAATAACATTAAAAATCCTAAAACAAGAAATAGGAAATAAAAAATCAAATTAAAAAGGTTGTTGAAAATTAGAGTATGTAATAAAAAAAACAAGAAGTAGGGGAAAAAAAAAACAAAAAAGCTGAAAAACAGTAGAGTAGGGAATCGAACCTAGGACCAAAACACAGCCTTACTAAGGACTCAACCACCAAACCATATTCAATATTGTGATATCTACTGTAAGTATATGTTATTTATAGCCTTTTACTGTATTTTCTTGATTTTTTTTTTTTTTTAGAAAAACTTTTTTTCCGAAAATGGGGGGACAACTGTCCCCCCTTGTTCTAATGTGGCTCCGCCACTGCTAATTCATGCTGTCCATCCTTAATTTGATTCATCTAGTTATACCTTTTATATTCAGAAAACAAACAAAGGTCAACAGGGCTAACATAGGCACGGGCACTGTGAAGCACACAGTTTATGCTCTATAACAATACATAAAAGGCCATTGCCTCCATACAGAAACTATTTACCAATACCACAGCCAAAAACTCAAAACGAAAACCCCATTAAATGCAATGCCACACAGCAACTACTCCCAAAAAAAAAAAAAAAAGGACCATAGTTTGAATCTACAGGGAAAAGGCAAGTCATATGCATAAGAAAATAGCAGCCAGAACCAAGAAAACACAGGCTGCACAGAATTTACAGCCAAATAGAAAATGGTAACACAACCAGATAAGCTTCTAAACTGGAAATATATATATATATATATATATATATACCACACCACTTCCTTTGAGATATAAAACCTTAAACCTTCCCTTTCCCCCTAGACCTGTTTCCACACACAGGCCATCATCACTATCTCACTATCAACCTTTTTCTCCTGCTTCATACTCCCCCATGACTCCATGAGCCATGACAACCTCCCTTTACCCTTAATCCTCAACAACAGACCTTTAAACACCTCCACCTTTACAATACAGGCTCTTAAATTAGGGTTTACAGCAACATGATCAGCAGTTACCCAGATCATGAAATCCCCTGCCTCAATGTCCACAACACTCCTGAAATAATGTCACCCATCACAGGTTTACAGTGCACTGCTGTCCTAAACAGCGTTGCCCCTGCAATTGAATAAAATAATTGACAATCAGCATGGTTAATGTAAGATCCATAGTCATTAGAGCCAACTAAGCTCCATGAGATCAGACTTAAATGGTCATCTTCAATGTAAAAAGTGCAGTCTTGGCAGCCTCACTGTCCTTAGTTCCTTGCACATGGTCACCATAAATGGAACTCACACTTATCAGGAATCAACCTATCCATGGCCATTCTGGCAACATGAATCCATAAGTGAAGATTATATGGGGTCAGTCTCATTTGAAAAGCAACCACAAATTAGGATAGTACTAAGAACTCAAGCAAACAAGATCAAGTTCAACAAAAGACCTATTAGCAGAGAACATGAAAGCCCTACTCGTCAGTGTCACTAATTAAAAATCAGAACTTGCTAGGGCACTCTGGTAGGTGCATTAACTGATAAACCTGGTACTTGAGATTCTCTGCAGTGGGATTTGAAGATTTTATCCAACTATCCTTTTTTTTAGCTAATACACCGTGTAAAGTACACTATCCAATCCAAAATCTTGAGCAATGTCATCAAAAATATTAGAATATTCCACAAGTAAAAAAGCACTTCACAGGACAGACTTGTCAAAACATCCAATTTACTATAACTAGAACTGTCACTATTTCTCCAACTATGAATGTTTTTTTCTGTATCATTTAGACTCGGATCTTCCGTTGTACTGGTACTAATTCATACCTCTTCAATATATTTTTCACTTATCCCAAACCAACAACAGTGATCAAACCAATTCAAGAAGTACAGAACCACCAAAAGCTTTCAGGAATTTTACCAAGCATAAATTGTACATATAATTAGACAAAAGCAGTCCAAAACAAATGTTCACCCACCTCCAAGCCTTGTGCCTTGATGTACTCTTCAATACGCTTATATACCTCAGATTGAGGCATCTCCTTCTCACTCGTACCAAAGAATTTAGCCAGTGCCTCAGAGATCACAATAGGAGCAGGAGGAACAGTCGCAGCAGGAGGAGCAATGGCAGCAGGGGTAACAGGAGCAGCAGAGACAACGGGGGTAACAGGGGCAGCAGAGACATCAGGGGTAACAGAGGCAGCAGAGACAGCGGGGGTAACAGGGGCTGCAGAGACAGCAGGAGCAGCAGGTGTATCAGGGGCCGCAGGATCAGTGCTCGGAACTTCAGCTTCTTCAACCTTTGCTTTCTTGGATGGTTGCTCTGGAACCTCTGCAGCCATCAAAACATAGGCTCAAAAGGCAACATAGAAAGCAGATATGAGAGTTTTTTTTTTTCATACAAAGCTATTCATACTTGTTGGGTCAAGAGGAACAATATGTTTTGACAGCAGTTTGTTCATCTGAAACATATCTGTACAGTCAACTTCAAATACCAACCGTAGCTCATCATTGCAAATTATCTTTCTTTTATTACTTGGATCTTGGAGATTATTCTTCCTTATATAGGCCCAGAGCTGCTTCACAATCTGTACCAGATACATACATTGAATAACCAAGAAAGAATAGATATAGAGAGAAGAAAGAAAGAGCAAATAAAGGAGCTAAACCTCTGTCCTAGGCAAGGCTGGTTGGCCAACAATTGCCTGAAGCTGAGGTGAAACACCACAAAGTTTATTCAGCCCTCCTGGGCCTCCTCTTCGTTTTGGTCGACTTTGGGTACTACAATAGAGGTGAAATTATAACACATGTTAGTTCAAATCCCAGCAATAGAAAAGTAAAAAATATTTCCATAACAAATAAAGAGAAGCATAGAGGCAAACAATATAAAAGGGACAAATTGATATCTTAAATAGGGTTGGTCACTGGTACAAACCCAGACCAGACCAGAACGAAACAGGCCAAAGACCAAATATTTGAAAATACAAGACCTGGAGACCGGATGTCTTGCCAGAATAACTGTGTAATTTAAAAAAAAAAAAAATATATATATATAAATTTAGTGAATGGAAATACAACATATCACTTCCAGAAATAAGGTGTTAAACTTGCATTAGCCTGTGTATACTTTGGTGAAATACACAAAGCCACAATGGCAAAGACAAATTGCAGTTGAAAGGTACTCTAATAGATAACCTGATAGGAGTATAGAATATCCATAATTGCCAAATGTCATATAAAGCGGCCAATCACAATTAAAAAAGATGAATAAATAATGGAATCAAACCGTAGGATTCCTGACATTTAAAGCATTCATGACAAGTAAGAATATTAAGCTGATATGGGCTTAAAAGGAAGAATTAAATACAGAAGGTATGGGATTTGAGCTTGATTCTAAAAACCATGTGTTTGGGTTATGTATAGAAATGAACACAAATTTTTATTTCCATACCTAGACGATTGGCACGTCCCCCCCCCCCCCCCCCCTCAACAAAAAAAAAAAAAAAAAAAAAAAAAAGGTTCCTAAACCCATAAATTTTAATCATTCTAAAATCATAGTTGATACCAATATGGTATCATACCAACCATTCGTCCCCTAATTTGGTAGTTTCCTATTCACACTAAGGCATAAATCTATGCCAATATTCATATTATACAAGAAAAGATATACACTTTCAAGCCATTCGGCTTATCTTAGATCACGGAGATTCACCACCTATGTTACGTGGACACCAGAACGAATATCAAATATGGGTATAGATCCGAGTGTCCGATACATCATTTTCAAAAAAATGACACAAGGACACTATCTTAACTTTGGACACGGGTATGGTAAACGGTACATGGCAATACAATTAGGTGAAAATATCTTCAATCAAAGGTTAATAAAGTCTTGCTAGGAAGGCAAAATTTAATTTAATTTTACATCAAATATTAGACTACTAAACTGACCCACAACACGTGCCTTTCGAGTTCTTGTTGACTTACATATGAAAAAAAGATATATATATATGTGTGTGTGTGTGTGTATATATATATATATACACAAAAATCCCTTATCATTTTGCTTTAAGAGTTTCCCATCTGCAAATGACCTTAAAGTAAAAACAAAAAAAAAAATATATATATATATATAGTAAAAAGCCATTCCTCTCCCCCCCCCCTTCGAAGCGTCATTCATGGCCATCATGAAACCTCGACTCCTCTTCTTAAACAAACATCGTCGTGCCCAACGACCAAATGACGTATCCGGAATAAAATTGGATTTCATACATGGGTCCGTGTCAGGCAAAGTATGACAACATAAATGTCGTGTACTCGAGTCCATATAACATAGTTCACCAAATACACACCTAAATGCCCCTAATTTGGTAAATTCCTCATCACTATTAAAACAAAATCTATGCCAATAGTCATATTATACAATATAAATTTTCAAGCCATTTGATTTATCTTAGATCACAAGAGTAGGAGATTCACCACACACACCCAAATGCCCCTTAATTTAATAGTATCCTAATAACAATTAAAACATCAAACAAAATCTATGGTAATATTCATATTATATACTCCCTCCGTTGTTTTTAAAGTGCCCCATAGTGACATGACACGCATGCCGATGCAAATCTTTGACCAATAGTACCTTTAATTATCATTAAATATAAATTATAACAAATGAATATCAATAATCTACTCATTGAGACGATTCCAACGAGTACCCACAAAACTATATTGTTTCTTATGTATAATTCACAGACATTAGTCAAAGTATGTTTGATAAATCGTGCCAAAATCCCCAATGGGACAGTTAAATAAACGGAGGAAGTAAGAATAGATATACACTTTAAAGTCCTTCGATTTATCTTAAATCACAATAGTAGAAGATTCATTACATAACACGTACACACCCTTGCATAGAGACATTTGATCCAGCAACGTCAAATTATGGGTTTCTTCACCTCTCAACCTCATTAATCCCAACTGATGAAACCTTTATCTTCCCATACATTCAGATTCTTCATGTTTTTCCATAGCAATCAAGACAAACAGCCCAACTACCCAAAATAGGCCTTCGCCATGACAATTGGACAGGTACTATGACCTAACTACTATGAATGAAGCATACTACCTAACTCAATTCTATACACTCTGGTCCTACTTGAACCTCACAAAGCTCCACAGAATGCCATGACTCCAAAACACAACATGTGTAAGCTAAACGAGTATATAAGAAGCCTAAAGTCCCAAACTTTACATTCCCCAATGACTAAATAGTATGCATTCAAGGACCAAAATATCTAAAAACCGTTCATTTCATTAACTAAATCTAGCTACAACGATCAAGATCAAAACTTTACCAAAAACGCAACAACACAAGAAATCCCCCATTCACCCTAAAGGCAGAATTCTTCATAGGCGATACACATGACAGCAACACATTGCTACAAGACCCATCACACAAGATATCAAATTTAATCATAATCACTTGCCTACAGTAAAGGAGCAGAAAAACAACTAATTAACTGCAAAAGATGTAAAAACTAACCCTAAAAATCTCAAACACTCAGCTCTTTTCTAATTTTTAACGCATTTCCAAAGTGACCCACGTCTAAAAACCCCCAAATTGTAAACATGCCCTAGAAAAATTAAAGAATTTTTATTAAAAATAAAAGACAAAAAAACACAAACCTCTCTTTAGCAGTTGGTGAGGAGAGAGAGTCAGAAACAACAGTCCCAGTTCCAGGCTGAGCAAAACTGATCTCAGTGGGGCCCCTTGGGAAGTACGACTGAGCCGAAGGAGGAGGAGGGTGATGAAAAACCCGATGTTGAGGATGAACAACATTGACATTAAGCTGAGGATGAACAACATTAGGGCTATTATTAGGGTTAGGGTTAGGGTTTACATTCAAATTCTGGGGATGAGGCCGAGAAACCACCACCGGAGAAACCGTCGCCGGCGCCGGCGCCGACGACGGCGGTGGAATCGCCGATTGAGGAGTACTAAAAAGGAAGCTAATATGAGCACGAATGAAATCGATTTTGGTGGAAAGATCAAACCCTAATTTCGATTGCAATCGATGAATAACTTCATTTAGGGAAGTGAAGGAATTAGGGTTAGTTTCACGAAACAAAGCTTCTAAACCCTCTGCTATTTCTTGGTCAGACACCATTTTTTTTTTGTATTTTTGGATAATAATTTTATGGGGTTTTTTTTGGGGAAAATAATAATTAAAATTTGTTTCTCTCTCTAACAGAAAAAAACGGACGGTATCCACTCACTGAGTCACAAAGTTGGTTTTCTGGTATGAAAGTCGGTCTCTTTCTTTCTCTCTCTTCTGTTGGTTTTCTGAGAGAGGGGAAGGGAGAGGAGAGAGAGAAGATAGCACTTTATTCGATTTTTATTGTTTGAAAATGACAAAATTGCCCCTTTTTTTGGTTTAAGACATTATCTAAAATTTGGTTGGAAAAAAGTCAAACCCACTACTAGTTGACATGTCAATATCCCACTTTTTTATTTTTTATTTTTCAAAATTTTTGAATAGTTTTATTTCTATTTTTTTTAGAAAAACTAAATAGTTATGATTTTATTTTATTAATAATAAGGTGATCTGTTTTGATTTTTATGATTTTTGTAATTTTATGCACAAAGTTTCATACGTGACTGCTTACATTGTATAGCCGAGATTACTTGTTTAGTTGGTCAATTAGGGGTTACTCGGTTATTTGACCAGTGTTTTGGGTGTGTGTCAACCGACCACACTAGAAAACGCACTGAATCTTATGAGGTTGGTTAGAGAGTGAAAAATAATGTTGTAAAGTAGAAACTTATTCACGCTTGTCAATTAGTCCACGTTTCGTATCATTAATATTTTAAATTACTACGTATATTTTAGTAAATACTATAAAGAGTTAATATTTTTGAAGTATATATTGAGATGAGACGGATAATAATAAGACTCCACTATATTATGTTTCTCCTAACACATAAATCATAAAAAATAAATAATAATAATAATAATAAATAAATAAATAAATAAATAATAAGTAAATGAACACAACAAAAGTTAAAGGAGTGTGCAAGTATAGTGTAAAATCTCCAATATTGTGATTAAAATGAACAAAGGAAGTATATTGTTATTTACGGAGTAAATTTTAATCAAACATAAAAGTACTAAGGTTGACCCACTAGCATTGGGCTGGATTGTAAAATCGAAGGAAGATATGGGTTGAAGGGAGGTGGGGGTTGGTTTGGGTTGGAAAGAGGACTAAAGAGTAAACAGCTTGATAGTTTAGGGGCTTTGATATGTTATCAATCAACCAAAATGTTGGTTGTTACAAGATAAACTAGTTAGTGCCCCGGGCAATGCCCCGGGCTTGTTTATCTTCTTCATATTCAATTACGTATATGGTAAATAATTACATGCATTATATCCTTTTTTAAAAAATGTAGTATTGTTTTCAAATTGGATGCACAAATGAATCATCAAACCAATATTCAACCACCGAGCATAAGTAGTAAATAATGAAAAATTTTACACGCACTAGCTTTGAGAGCTTTGAGTGAACTATAAATAAAATCAACCAATGGAATCTCTTTTTTTTTTTTTTTTTTGGAGGGAAAATGAAATATCATATTATTAAAATATAGCAATTCTTACATATTACACAATCATCGAACAAAAATGCTACTTATTGCTTAAAATATATATAGCCCATAATTAATTCGGGGTGATTTATTAAAAGTGTAAAAATATGAGTTAAGTATGCAAAATATATCCATTGCATTCAAGGTAGGTAGAGTAAACAAATACTTACCTGGCTCAATACTGGCCTAGTAAAATGTTTCTCCAAGAGGTTTAGACCGTTTAGTATATCATTTTCTTAGATAGTTAATTTATAGGGATAAATATTTTGAATACATATCGGTTACATATTTTACAAATTAAATGGGTCAAAGCAATTTTAAAACATTTTAATTATTCATCTTCTCAATTATGACCAAACTAAATACTAATAATGGCTAGTCTATTGGTTTGCAAGTAACACCTTCTCTTTCTTTAAATATAGAATCAATATTTGATTAATCATTATTATAAGATGTAAATCAAGCACATTATTTAGATACAATAATACAATTGCAAAAGTGACGTGGCAAAAAATTTAAAGTGATGTGGCGAAATGACAAAAAAAAATGACAAATGGGAAAATGAAACTCCTTATCTTGGAGTTTTAATATAGATATAGATATAGATATAGATGGTTTACTATAATTTACTTAAATTTGATGCTAGTAAACCAAAAAGCTATACTTAATATGCTTTGATTTTCTTGTTAAGAATTGATATTTGTGTAATTAACTAATTATTATGATAAAAGCTAACGAACCCGTCCGAGGCGTTGGATAAGCTAGTTAAAAGTAGAAAGATTAAATTAAAATTAACATTAATTACACCGATCGATTCATTTTAGATGATATTTTAAAGGTTTATCCATGTCGGGGGCGTTCGTTAGCAAGGTCCAATTATTATTAGCTCATTATTAGTAAGAGTGACTCAGGAGTGTTATTTTGGACGTTGTATTGTTGTGGTTGATAACACATACTTCCTCTGTTTTCTTTTAGATGCAACACACATTTTTTCACGGTATTTAAGAAATGTGGGGTTCACATGATATAATACACTTAAAAATGGGATGAGTGGCTGTTAGGAGTGTAATTTAGTGGGACATGTGCTTTAAATAAGGAAAATAGTATAGTTTTTCCTCAAGATAACTTTCCTTTTATAGTGTGTTGCTAGTATTGTGACATTTCCTTTTTAGGGAAGTGTTGCAAGTAAAAGAAAACGGAGGAAGTATTAGAATAATAAATTTATAACTTGGGATGGGACGTTGCATTGCTTTCATATAATCGTATGATTGATCCCTAGCTAGTTACTCCCTACGAACCAATTTTTTTTTTTTTTTAAAACCCCCTATGAACCAAATATGATTTAAAACTATAAAATATATACTCATATATATATGAGGCTAAAATAAGATTTGGCCTTGGGGGAATGAATAGTAAAATTGAACACTCGAGTACATCTTTTCCAATGATATATATATATATGTTATTCTAAGTGTTCTCTTCTATCTATATACCCGCTATGTTCCGCAATATTATACTCATTGTCTTTTGTACAATATCAAATGCATTATAAACCATACAATATGGTCAAAGTTTTATGTAAATTATTATTTTGAATTTAACGTTAGAAATATATTACATGATCTCACATTTTCTTCTTTTGGTTAAGATTTTAAATCCCGTGAACAATAAGTGAGAGTACTTGTATATATACACAAATAGTCACGTAGATAAAAGTATAAATTAAGGATACAACCTTGAAAAATAAGGTCACAATTATTATCCATGAAGGCATGAAGCAAGCAACACAAACTAAAAACTAGATATTTTCTTATTCCAAAATTGTCAAGTTAAATAAATTCTTGCATATTATAATACGTAGTGTCATTTGTGCTGTTTCAAAAAAAAAAAAAAAAATAATATCATTTGTGCAAAAATTAGTAAATTACAATTTTTTCCACAAATCTCGGATCATCACAAGACTTAATTTACCCTCTATCCTTTTACTTAGGGGTGTACACCGGTCCAAAACCGGACCGGACCTGGACCGGACCTGTTTGGACCGGGGACCTGAATTGGGTAATTATGAGGACCGGGGACCGGACCTGAATTAACAGGTCCGGTTCCGGGCCAGACCTGAAAAATCAGGTCCGGTCCGGGTTTGGACCTGAATGGACCTGTTTTGTGTCTTTTTCGTTTTTTTTTTTTTTTTTAATACAAAACCTGTTGGACCTGCATATGGACCTGTTTTGTGATTTTTAGACCTGTTGCATAATTTAATAATTACATACAAACCAAAATTATCAATTACAAAACTACATAAAGTCTATAAAGTCCCGATTCTCAAACACCAAAAATACAAATGAGTCCACCGAAAATACAAATAAGTCCACGAAAAGTCATAAAATTACATAAATTCTCTTAAGTCTCAACTCTCAACTCTCAAGTACTAGGAATACATAAATTCTCCAACGAGTTGTTTTCCCTTTGATCGCGTGATTCACACTAATGAGTCCACGAAAACAACTTCATCGTCTACATCGTTAGATTCACCACGTTGCACCTCTAAATAAAATACAATATAGAATATATTAATGATTGATAACAATGAAATAATAAATTTGGTGTAACAAAATTTCAAATACATAAAATTATTACTACCTTTCTCTATTTCCTCTAACTCTTTCAAATTTTCTTCCACATCAACAATTGGCACTTCCTTAGCTCTAAGCCAATCTTGTGTGCAAAGTAACGCTTGAACCATCTTCAATACAAAAATATTACACAAATATGTATAAACAAAGTCATATTAAGATATAAACAAACTTGATTTTATAAAATAAAAAGATAACGATGCATTACCTTAGGAGTCAAAGAACTCCGAAATGGATCTAGAGTACGACCTCCCGTACTAAAAGCAGATTCCGATGCAACGGTCGACAATGGGATGGCTAGTATGTCACGTGCCATGCGATTAAGAATCACATAACGCTGACCATTCTTACCCCACCATGTCAATGCATCTTGTTCTTCCTCCTCCGGCCCTAATTGATCATTTAAGTACCTATCCAACTCACTTATCGCATACCCACTTGTCCCCTTCAATCGTTTTGCTCTTTCTTTTAGTTTCCTCACATAATCGGAACCCACTCCTTTACTATTATCAATATCCATTGACATATTATCTCCACAATCTGGAATATTAGAAGTAGCATACATTTTTCTATATTCCTCAAATAAAGAGTAAGCGAACTCCTTCACATCATTAGCAAGTTTTGTACCCTTTTCCGGTCCATGCATATCCGTTAGTGTCAATTCAACAATGACCATCTTAGAGTGAGGGTCGAGAAGAAGAGCAACATAAATGAACTTATTCATCTTATCCACATCCCCCCAATACTTATCAAACTTTTTTTTCATTGCAATGGCCATGGCTTGAAAATTCAAGTCCTCACTTTGTTCCCAATTATTCAACATATCATACATAGAAGCAATTTCTCCTAAACCTTTATTAGCTGTCACATAATGGGAACCAGAAATTCGTTTAGTTAACAGATAAAACCCCCCTAGAAACAAAACCAACCTCTCCACTTTTTCCCAATCTTCGGGTTCGGGAGGCCTTTCATTGTCATTCAAATCCTCTCCATCAGGAAGAGATAACCCACTAAAAACACGTCGAAACTTCAAAGCCGTTTCCAACATTATGTATGTGGAGTTCCAACGAGTGGGGACATCAAAGGATAAAGAAGATTTTGAATCTATGTTTGCTTTTTGCACAAGATCTTTGAATCTAAGTATTCTTGCAGGGGAATTCTTAACATATTTCACAGCATTTCTAACTCTATCAATGCACACACCATGTTCTCTAATACCATCCCACACAATTAAATTAATGATATGAGCAATGCATCTA